GAGAGCGCTCATATAATCACAAATTAGTCTGTTCCAATAGCAGTCCGGTTTACAGGATTTAGTCAGAACTTACAGGAAGTCGTTCCTATTGACATAAAACCTGTAAGTGGGAACACATTTGAGAGAGTAACTGAGCAACTGTTCCTAGTCAGAAGTTACTGGATTTAGTCCGGAGTTTCTTTTCCTGTAAGTTCATGAAAAGTGTCAAACGATCAGCTGATTTACATGTGCAAACAAAAACAGAAAGCGGTGAAAGCAAAGAACCTTATATTTGTTAAAAAAATGGAAGTAAACAACGAAATATATATTTCAGCCAAATCAGTGTAGTACCAATGACATGTAAACAAACCGTCTGACGTTTTTACAGGAAATAGTGCTTTTTGCGTGCCTATCCACTTCTGCATCTGTTCTCCTTTTACTCTCATTTGAGAGCGTAAAATTGTAGTTTGACAGTTCCACAGGTTTTAGTCCGAAGTTCAAAGGAACAGACTAAATGTTTATTCATATCGCCCGCATATAGCCGATATCGGCCGAGCACAATTCGGCCGATGCCGGCTGCAGTGCGCGTAGCGTTACTCATATGCCATATACGAGTATGTACAAGTACGCCTATGTACGATATGGCGTATGAGTAACATTATTTCCTGCTCCTGTTTCATAAAAAAAATTATTGGACATTTTCATTCAAAACATTCCATTCAAAACATTATTATTTATGCATAGATTCTAATCAATAGTATTTGGCGTTGAGGTAAAAGAACAGGCTGTAATACAAATAGAAAAAAATTGCAAAAGATTTGTTATTTTTTATTGTTAAAGTATGCATTAAGTGTACGTGTTTCGGCGTTTCGTTATGTCATTTCAAATATTGAAATTTTCACCACAGTATTATGAGGGAGTGCAATGGGGTATAGTTGGAGTGTAATGGGGTATAGTCGTTGCGCTGGGTATGCAGTTACAGTTGCATGGCTATACTCAATCCCGAATCTTGCGTCCTCGTTCGGGCACTCTGGGCAACGTGAGCAACTCATGCGCGAGATGCGGTAACCAATCCGAGTGGAGCCTTGGGCCCCGGCAGAAAGAGAGGGAGCTTCGGTGGGGCCACTCCGACCTATTCGGTTTAAGGGCTCACTAAAGTCTGCAGCGTCTGTTCACCAGTAGGTGCGGCTGCAAGCGGGTGTGTGCTTGGAGCAAGCGGCTCGCTATATAAACGTGTATTTGGTTGCGAAACCACCCTCGTCCCAGCAATGGGTTGTGCGCTGGGTTTGGGACCCGCCACGTAAAAACCACTTCCAGTGAAGAAGCAAGGCAAAGCCTCGGATGAGACGACCACGGCAAACGTTTAAAGGACTACGATTTGAGGGCATGCACCTGGAATGTCCGGACGCTTAATGGGGAAGGTGCCTCTGCCCGGCTGGTTGATGTCCGCGTAAGGACAAAAGCTGACATCACCGCCATCCAAGAAATGCGTTAGACGGGGCAAGGCAAACAATGTCTGGGGCCTTGCGACGTCTACTACAGCTGCCATGTAAAGGAGCGCAAATTCGGAGTTGGATTAGTGGTGGGAGAGAGACTCCGTCGCCGAGTACTGTCGTTCACCCCGGTGGACGAGCGTCTAGCCATAATCCGCATCAAAGCGAGATTATTCGACATCTCGCTCATCTGCGCCCATGCCCCGACGGAAGAGAAGGATGAGGCATCCAAGGATCTCTCCTATGAGCGCTTGGAGCGCACGTACGAGCGCTGCCCCCGTCATGATATCAAAATCGTGCTTGGCGACTTCAATGCCAGGGTGGGCAAAGAAGGGATCTTTGGAACCACCGTCGGAAAATTCAGCCTCCACGACGAAACGTCCGACAACGGATTGAGGCTGATCGACTTCGCCGGGGCCCGAAACATGGTAGTATGCAGTACTAGGTTAAAGCATAAAAAGATCCATCAAGCTACGTGGCTATCTCCGGATCGAAAAACGAGAAACCAAATCGATCATGTTGTGATAGACGGAAGGCACTCTTCCAGTGTTTTAGACCAGCCAGCGCTTTCGCTACTCGCCTCTCACACCTACTCTCAGAGAGCGCTCTTCAACAAACCGACATATGCGAGCAGTGGAACCACATTTCCCACTCATTAAGTACCGCCGCCGAAGAATTAGTTCGATTTCAGCGAGCCCGAAAGAACAACTGGTACGATGAGGAGTGTCAGGAAGCTGCAGAGAAAAAAGATGCCACCTGCAGGGCCACGCTGCGATCGGGCGCAACGCGCGCTATGTGGGACCGCTATAGGGATCTGAAGAGGGAAGCGAGACGTATTTGCCGCAATAAGAAGAGAGAGGCCGAAATACTTGAGTGCGAAGAGCTTGAAATGCTGGCCGACAGGAAGAATGCCGGAAAATTTTACTAGAGAGTTAGGCGACTTACGGAAGGTTTCAAGACCGGGGCGTACTCCTGTAAGAACAATAATGGCGACTTAGTAACTGATGTGCAGAGCGTACTTAAATTATGAAAGGAACACTTTTCCGCCCTACTAAATGGTAGCAGCACGGAAAGTTGTGGAGAAGAAGAACCCGAGCCCGCAGTCGATGATGACAGAGTCGACGTTCCACCGCCTGACCATGACGGGGTACGTATAGCAACAACGCGGCTGAAAAACAACAAATCTGCTGGAGCTGACAGCCTGCCAGCTGAGCTATTCAAGTACGGCGGCGAGGAGTTGATAAAGTGCATGCATCAACTCAATGAACTGATTGGGCCTTATCAGTGTGGCTTTAGACCTGGCAAATCCACCATAGACCAGGTATTCACAGTACGCAAAATCTTGGAAAAGACCCGCGAGAAAAGGATCGACACTCACCACCTATTTGTCGACTTTAAAGCCGCTTTTGACAGCACTAAAAGGAGTGGCCTATACGCCGATATGTCTGAATTTGGCATCCACTCAAAACTCATACGGCTGTGTAAAATGACGTTGAGAAATACCACCATCTGCGTCAGAATTGGGAAAGACCTCTCCGAGCCGTTCGCCACAAAACGCGGTTTTAGACAGGCGACTTCCTTTCATGTGACTTCTTTAATCTGATGATGGAGAAGATAATAAGAGCTGCAGAACTGAACCGCTCAGGAACAATTTACTACAAGAGCGTGCAATAGCTGGCTTATGCCGATAGCATCGACATCATCGGTAACAAAAACCGCGAAGTCTGTTCTTCCTTTTTCTTCCTTTTCCAAGTTGGATAGGGAAGCAAAGCGAATGGGTCTGGTGGTAAACGAGGACAAGACGAAGTATATCCTGTCATCAAACAAACAGTCAGCACAGTCACCCACGTCACTGTTGCAGTTACAATTTCGAGAAAGTAGAGAATTTCGTTTACTTGGGAACCAACATTAACACCGAAAATAATGTCAGCATTGAAATCCAACGCAGAATCACTCTTGCCAACAAGTGCCACTTTGGACTGAGTAGGCAATTCAGGAATAAAGTCCTCTCTCGACGTACGAAAACCACGCTCTATAAGTCAGTCATCATGCCCAGTGCTGGTATATGGCGCAGAAGCATGGACAATGACAACATCCGATGAGGCGGCTCTTGGAGTGTTTGAGAGAAAGATTTTGCGGAATATTTACGGGCCTTTACGCGTTGGCGACGGCGAGTACCGCAGACGATGGAACGATGAGCTGTATGAGCTTTACAACGACATGGATATAGTGCAGCGAATTAAAATACAGCGGCTCCGCTGGCTTGGCCATGTCGTTCGAATGGACACCGACGCTCCAGCTCTGAAAGTATTCAACGCGGAACCCGCTGGTGTTAGCAAAGGAAGAGGGAGGCCCCCACTGCGATGGAAAGATCAGGTGGAGAAGG